AGTATACTAGATCACAAAGGAAATAACTCTGAGAAGAGAGAATTACAACATTCAAGCTCTGGCAGGAGCTGAAGTTGTGAATCTAACTGTAAGGGTCATTTTGAGGTGGTGCAGTGAAGCATCATTCAAAGTATTGTATAATTTACACACTGACAGACATGTATAGGGCTCCAATGAACTGAAAAGAGGGAATTTAGATGAAAAAGTCAGAGACATTTATGGAGACAAAAAGGAGATCATTCTCTCCACTTGGTCATGCTGAGGGTTCATTTTCTCATCCCACCACTTAACACATGCATTTAATGCCGTCTATGTGCAAAGTGCTATACTAGGAACTTGGAACACAAAGATGAAAAGACAGAGCCTCTATTTTAAGGAGCCTACAATCAAGTAGAGGAAATAAACATTCAAAAAAGAAAAAAAAACAACTGCTATACACATGATCGTTGTCCAAGACAATGGCTCGAGAGCCGGGTACAAGGTGCAATCTCAGTACAGGGCAAAGACTGCCCACACCCACCCGGCGGGAGTCAGAGAGCGCTTCATGGAGGAGACACCAATGAGGCCTGCATTAACAGTAAACAGGAGTCCACTGGACAATCAGAGGGAGGGTAAACAAAGGCATGGAAGTCACGTCTGCAGGAGTGTGGGTAGTTTAGCATTGCTGGGTGGGACATAAAGGATAGACCTGGGAGATATATAAAGATTAGAGACAGCAAAGAAGCAGAATGCTGCACACCAGTGATGAGACAGGAGGCTGAATGTGCTGGAAATGTTCCCTACTAGGTGCTCTAAACTTTATCCTTAAGTCTAGGTCGGTGTTTTTGACCATCGGCATCGGATCCTCTAGAGAATTCCCCGCAGCCTCACTGCTCAAACTGTGGCCTGTGGACCAGCAGCATCAGCATCACCTGGGAACTTGTTAGAATGCAGCATCTCAAGCTGACCTCATCCTCCTGAGGCAGAATCTGCATTTTAACAAGCCCCCAGGTGAGCTGTAGGCACGTGTAAGTTTGAGAAGCACTGCTCTAGAGTACTTGTTAGAAATGAATATTTTGACCAAGGTCTCATCTATTAAATTGGAATCTTTGTGTTGAGGCCCAAGCTTCATCATGTTTTACAGGCTCACTAGAGATTATGAGGCAGATTAAATTTGAGAACCACTATGGGCGATGGGAAGCCATGGAACAATTCTGAAAAGAAGAATGACAACCTCAAATTTTTTCTATTATAATAGTTATCTGAATACACTGAGGAAGGTTTGGGGAGTGTTGGTGCAACCATCAACAGGAGAGACAAGAGTAGCTAGTTTTAACTGCCAGGAGCAATTGAGTCACAGAACAAGGACCACAGGTCATACCAAAGCTTGAGGCGGAAATGGGTAGGACCCTGAAGTTTCAGCAGTATATTTTCATACCCCAAGATATGGCAACCAGTGAAGGAAAGTCAGTGATGGCTTTGGGAGTGGCTGAGCTTTGACTAATGTTTTATTCCTGTTATTATGACTCATGTTCCTTATTTTTAAAATGGTACCAAAGTGAGCTGGGCAAATGTGTTTGGCATTAGGGAAAGAAAGATTCAGAACAAATATTTATCCTTCAAACTCTTGTCTTTTGTAACTAGGAGAACTTCTAGGAGAAAAGACTTACTTTTATTGAAAGATGTACGTCAGTGTGGAGAAGGTCATGTAGAAGACGTGACTACTGGTTGACCTGTAAGCTAATACCTGGGCAATTGGAAGATCCTCATTCCTTCTCCTGTCCTTGGAATGTATGTGTTCCCCATCACTCCCACAGTGGGGGCCATTTTCAAGGACACTTCCTTGAGAAAGCAGTTTGGATGGTGTACATGACTAAATCTAGTTAAGGCTTCTTTATAAACTTTTAAGATTCTGGCGGGAGGGTGCAGAGATCTATTTCTTTTCCAGCTGCCCAAGACAAGCCTTATATGTAACTTCCTGTGTCTATTGAACCTGGCACCTACCAACTTGGAGTGGTCTGCCTCTTTCTTCGGTCTCCCTGTGCCCTCTGTATACAATGGCCAATTTGCAAACCAGTAGGGTTCCATGGGCAAGAGCAAAACAGAATTTATAGCACATATGGAAATGTGTAAAAACAAATTCTCCTCAGTTTAACTGAAGAATTTTTGAAAAGTAAATCTGGACAATGAGTATGATGAAAGAATAGAGCAAGAGTTATAAACAAATGTATTTCATAAATTACCTGTCAGAAAGCAGATTATCTCCTCATGGATATTAACACAACATTGTGTCTATTAAAATGCTAACCAAAGGCTAGTTCCTCCCGTGCCTACTGTACTTCATTAGTGGTGTTACATCACCCAATTACAGAGATTTTTCTATCTTGCATCTCAGTCGTCCGGTTGTTGAGTTTTCAGGTGTGACCCAAGAATTCCAAGTCAGAACCAGAGAACTTACAGCTGCCACAAAGGCCACACTGGGAACTGATCTCACAAAACATGTTCATGAGTTTAGATGAGACTCACAGTGTGTACCTTGCAGTAACTTCCCAAGTAGTAACACCAGGCAGGAGAGAAAATAACTGAGATGGCAGAGAGAGAAAGAGAAAGACAGACAAAGGGGTGAGATGCCTCTGAACAAAGGCATGAGTTGGAAATCTGAGAATGAGTTATTTTGAAAGAATAGAGATCAATGTCACTCAAACTGTTCTACAGCTGGTTTTGGTGATTTTCTAAATGTGCCAAATAGCCACAGTTCTAACAGCCTGAAGTAGAGACTTCTTGTTTTTCTAGCACCTAGACAGCTGGCAGGACCTTCAGCACTGCCCAGGCTCTGGCAATGCAAGCTTCTCTGCAGTCTGACTGGGTTCCTTGGGCATAGCTACTTAACGGAACATGCCATACGAGGCTTCTGTAGTTTTTATGGGAGTTTCCTGTACCTTCAGTTTTACAGATCTTATTTATAGACTTCATATAACTTTTAAAATAATTTAACACTTGTTAGGCAAAAACTAACTAGATGAAAACTTAAGACCATTGAATGTATTCAACCTTGCTCATGAGGCTTTCTAATAGATATGCTTTCAGATCAAGCACTCTAGCTACTTGAATGTTCTTTGCAATTATTCATCACCCATCTATAAATATCTCAAAATACTCAACTCCCAACCTCAAGGTTTGCAAAATAGTTCAGTAAATATGAGTAAGAGTTTAAAAACAGTTAGAAGCTGGGTAAGATCAGGAAAGTAATAATTTTTCTCCCAGTAGATTTTAGATCACAGCTAAAAGATGGTACAAACAGAAAACCAGAGACTCATGCTAGAGTTCAGACACAATTACCTAATTAAAATCAAGGTATGCAACGACTGATAGGAATAAGTTACAGCCTAAAAGCTATTTATGAAAGTGAATGTTGACTTGTCTGTACACTACTGGTGGGCGTGCACATTGGAAGAACTTCTGACTGAGTAACTACATACACAACTACCTGTACAAGAGTGGAAAGAGAATACACGCGGATATTTACTTCAGGGCTGTTGTCCCAGTGGACAGCTGGAAACAACCAGAAAACCCACTAAAAGGGCTGGATAGAAAAAGTTAAGGTAAATGGGGTGCTATGCAGCCTTTTTAATCAAATGAGGTAGAAAAGTGTGCACCTGTACTGATCACATAGTAAGATCTCACTGTTGGAAAAAATATACACACACATGTATCAATGTCAATATATGCATAAAAATGTCTGGAACGATACACTCTAAGCGGTTAGCAGTGGAGATCACTATCGGGAAAAAGAGGTGCGTGACAGAGACTTTGACACTTATACACTTACATCAATTATACACTTACTTTGACTCTTACACACTTACATAATTCTGCAATGCTAAATTTTTAAAAATAGCTAAATATTACTTTCAAAACTAAAATAATAAATATCTATACTTTATTTTAATAGATTGTGAATTCTATAATTCCACAATTTGGTCAACTTAGTAAAAACAACAGAATGAAAGTTTTAGGAACCTGGACCTTTTTAATTGACATCTATGAAACAGCACATGAAATCCATTTTCTATGCCAATCAAACACCGCCCTGCCTCATCAGGCACAAGGGGGGATTGGCGCTGGATGTGAGTAGACACATTTTACTTGTTAGAACTGAAGCTTTTGATTTTGATTAGAATTCACTTTGATTAGAATATATTTACTTTATATTCACAAAATAATAAGAAATGAAACCACCCTAGAAGTTAAAATGCATATCCTTGAACAGAAGGGGGAGGATCTGAACACACACTGGGAGTAATTACTGGACAAATGAATTAAAACCCCCTGTCTAGTTCCTAACTAAAACTATGGGGGGAAATTCTAGTCAAAGCTCTCTTAGTAAATACAGAGAAGTTTCCTAATCTAATTCTATTATTACAGAAAACAAATTTTACATAACAAAGAATAAATCTCAAAAATATTTGCCTTTTTATATTTCCAGCCTATGGCTTTTGTTTCCACCCATAAAACATGAAGCAAGTAAATAAAGAGGCCACTAAATCAGGAATTTGTTAAGACATCTCTTCCTATCGAATCACTTGTTTTGCAAATGACATTCCAGAATGGTTTAAGAAGGTATGGGACAAAGTTGTTTTTACATGTCAAGGGGTCATCTTTGTAAAACCATAACAAAAGGCTCTGCACAATGTATTTGAAGGGAATAATGAAGTTGTATTAAGCACCAATTTAAAAATATATTCAAGCTGGTGGAGATTTGTTCTTGTGAAACTGACTATACTAATTGCAGTAACAATTATCCTCTTTTGAATAAATTAGTAAGGCCCAACTCTTTCCTCAGTGAAATATATGCTTGGGCAAACCCGTGGATAAAGACAAATTCCTCCAGATCTCATATCTTTTACTTTATTCCAGAACTCTTAGTCTATGACATAAATTTCAGGGTATGCAGAAGTATGTAAGACAGTGTTCTTTGTTGTTCTAAAGTGACGGGTTTGATAAGCCTTAAAGAAACTTACCACATAGTTCTTCTGTATCAAGATTGCTGAAAGATAAAAAAAAAGGAGTATTACTTTGATAATATTTAGGTTTTTAAATAGTTAAATACAGTTATTCCCCAATCTACATTGTTATATTAATAGATGATATATAGCTATGGTATTTCTCTTATAAATTCTACATTGTTTAAATAGTCAGTCACATATTAACAATGATTGTCAGATTTTGTCTTTGAACAAATAATTCTTGGAATTTGTGTCTCCCCCAGGGTCACGCTAGGGGAATACTGCATAATTTTAAAGAATGTAGAGCCAGAATGCTTGAGTTCAAATCCTTACTCTACCATTTCCCATCTATGTGGCCCTGAGTACTTTGTGTCTATGTGTCTCAGTTACCCAGTCCCAAAATGGGGATAATAATTTGTGTTTCATAGGAATGTCACAGGATTTAAATAGGTTAATAAATATAAAGCAGTTAAAAAAGAAACTTAGCACAATTTAGCACTTAATAAATGTTAGCCATCATATTCCTGACTTGTTTGAACTGTTAGAACTTTCATATTTAAATTCAACTTATGGGTTAAGTTTGATTCAGTGCTTATTTCCAATGTTTTCTAAAATATAATGAAGAATTACATTGCTTAATATTTACATGTAAACAACAGAAACCCATTACTCTTATGAAGATAACTGCAAAAGAGCCAGGTGAACTGTCTGCAGATATATAAAACATTACTATCAGGAAAATAATGCCTTGACCATGGAAAACATGGTACAGGAATTCAAGGATGGTCCAATATCAGGCAATAAATCAATATAACACTACATCATAGTAAAGGAAAAAAACCCATCATATTAACAAACATTAAATGAGAATTTAATAAAAAGTCAACATTCATTCTTATTTTTACAAGTTTAAATGAAACAGGAATACAAGTAAACCTCTTTCTTGAATATGATGAACACTACTGAAAATCAACTGCAAACATCAGTTGGCTACATACAGATGGGATATGTCAAAACTCAGTGTAAATAAACTTCATAATTCAGTCCTCCTTTAAGTAACAGTCAGGGTTGGTACACAGGAGGGACACCGGCGTAAGCATGTCAAACACCAGGTCTTTTTACCAATTCCATCATCAAATTTATTATGTAATATTAAATTCAGGATTTTATCCCAAGATGCTGAATATTTGATCTTGGGTAAATGATATCTCTATACTACAGTAAAATTTTTTGTAAAGTAATTATTTGCCATCAGATAGAATATGTAGCATCTTCTGTAATAGTTTTGGTATGGGCCCATTCATTTATTTATTGCACAAACTTATACTGTTATGTTCCAGGCATTGTTCTAACCACCACAGATAATTTGGTTGCCATAGATACTGAGATGAACATGTCAGATCACTAGTTTCTAGCAGCTC